TCATTGGATCTGGTCAGGTAGGCAGGGCAAGGATTATCGGCTTCGCTCTATCAAAAAACAGCCTCTGCAAGGTTAGGTGACTAGCCACAGTTACATGGATATTAAGGGCAGAGCTGGATGGCAAGCCCACTTTTTCTGATCCCTGCTTTCTCCAGTGTATCTTGCTGTCTTAATCAGGGCAGCATTTGAGGGTGGGCTTCTATGCAGATTAATTCTGTAGCAGTTTTCAGCTGTATACTGCTGACGAAAACCTATTTCTATTTGTAGGGTTTCCCTGGGGGTAGGCTGGTGTGCTAGTTTTGGATGTTCTTCAGACTTCTGCTCAGTCTATGATACTATCCTGACTCTGCAAAGTCCTCCCACTTCCCTGCATAGGCATTTCAAGGGCAAAGTCATAAATGGCAATTTTCAGGGCTGGTTGTCATCTTGAATTGGATCTTGAGAATCAGATTCTTGGTTTTCTAGACCAGTGCTGTCCAATAGCATATAATATGAGCCACACATGTAATTTTTAATATCATAGCAGTACATTAAGTAAAAATAAGCAGTGAAATTAATTTTAATGATCAATTTTATTTAATCCAATAGATCCAAAATATCATTTCAACATGTGATCAATATGAAATATTGACGAGATATTTTGATTTTTTTTGGACTAAGTCTTTGAAATTCAACATGTATTTTATACCTACTTTATATCTCACTTAGAACTAGCCATATTGTAAGTGCCTAAATGGCTAGTGGCGACTGTATTGGAAACCACAGTTGTAGAAAATTCTTCCAGGAAAAAAATACAGTGAAGAAAAACAAGTCCCCTTCCCTCTATTGATAATGAAGAATGAGTTGGGTAGTGACCCTTTTATTATGATACACTTCACCATCAATCATCAATCATACATCATCATAGAGAACCTCTTAGCATCATAGCAAATTTAGCAAAACTACTTTCTAGTGACCTAGGAGCTTCCAGAACCTGGTGCCAGTTGCAAAATGTTGAATAGGACCATTCACACACACATGGGGAGGAAACAGTCTATTATGTGACTGGGTCACAAGGCTTGCGTGCTCAAAAAATATGCTCATCTAGGCTGCCTATGCCAGATACACCTATTAAGACACTTTTTTCAACAAAATTTTTTTTTAGATATCTATTAAAATGTGCAGACAGAGGACTAGGGCCTGCTGGGTTAGGGGAGGTAGGGATAAAAGCACGAATAAAACATACTCCCTGCCTACAATGAAACTTGTGGTCTGGGAGGGAAGACAGTGGCTAAAGCAGAGAAGGGTCAAGTGTCCACTGTATGGTGAGGATGAAAATCACCCATCTCCAGCTCTCAATCAAGCCTAAGTTTTCTTCAGAAAACCTCTGTTGGAATTCCATTGTTTTTCCAAATTAGGAGCACAAGAAATAATTACCCTTTAGTTTACCAGTTAAATTGGCATAGACTTAGTCATTGAATTTATTTGAAAAGTAGAGCCAAAAACCCTTTAGAAATGGAACAGATTGTTTTCACGGGGGAAAAGAAGAGAGGGGACAGATGGGAAAGGTGTGGATCCCTTTGTTGTGACAAGATGGGGAAATTTCTTGATGATGAGGAGTGGTAGCTTGAGGCCTTAGGTAGAAGGTTTTAGTGCCCTGTGAGTAGGGGATAGTGTCAAAAGAGAGGAAGGGCGGTAGTGAACGGAAGGACCACAAACTTTGTCTACTTCAGAGCTTTGCTCATTCTTGGAGTGGTATTAAATGCTTATATGAGCAAATAAATACAATGCATATGTTTACACTGGGGAAGCAGTGGAGGGTAGTGGTTAAGGTCCAGAGTTTGGGACTCAGGCAGCCCAGCCACCTGTATGACTTGGGGGAAGTTATTTAACCTCTCTTTGCCTCAGTTTTCTCATTAGTAAAAAAACGGTTTGTTATAGGATTTGATGATATAACGTACATAAGGAGCTTAGGATAATGCCTGGAACATGGCATGTACCTCATAAATGTCAGTAATTATTATTAGTTTTGGCATTTTATATCAGTAATAATTACTAGCTATGGTGCTCCCCTAATTTGTTCCTGAAGTTTCACAAGACTGCTGACTCTATATCAAGCAATCTTGATAGAAAGTAGGCAAATTCTCATGATTATCTCCCTCTACAATGGCAAAAGTGGGGCAAAGAGATGAAAATGACTTGCCCAAAGGCTCAGAGGCTGCTCCTAAACTGGGGAGGGAGACCATTTAAGGCAGTGGTGATGGATTTCCCCAAAGACAAGGCTTTAGAACATTTATAGGCTGGAATTATATTCCAGGATGCACCACTTAATTCAGTGTCATCTTGGGAAGTTACCTGATTTCTGAGCCCTCAGTTGTTCACCTGTCAAACAGGGATAATAAATATGCCAAGGGTTGTTAAGACTCAATGGCGTGATGCATGAAAAATGTATGTGGTCTGAGCTTAATAAAATCAGCCTCAATTATTGTTGCCACTATTGTTGTTATGGCAGATCCTATGCCTGTCAGGCAGTGCCTGACTGGGATGCTGTGATGGGTTTTGGCTCACTACTGTGCCCCAGCGCCTGGCATAGTGCTTGGCACCCAGTAGACACTTAGGAAACGTTTGTGGAATGAATGCATTTCTGAAGCAGGAAGGCAGCCGGCTGACTTGGCCTCGGAGGTTAGCCCTTGCTCTCCTTCCAAAAGCCAGAGCCTAAAGTAGCTTATAGCCTGGGAGCCCAGGCACTAGTTAGCTGTGAGCTGCAACCCACTCTGTCCCCGAACTCCTGTCGGAGCTGCTGGAGGTTACCCCGTCTGGACATGCATCTTTGTGTGAGCGGCTCTCTCCGAAGCCCTTATTTTTCTGGTTTGCGGTTTATTTACTTAAGCATTTACAGCTCCCGGGAGCAGAGGGGCTGCTTGAAGCAGGGTCAAGACCGAGGTCGCGGTCTCTATTTTCTGCATCCCAACCTCAGGGCTGGCAAGTCACAACACGGCTCCGTTATTGTGCACAGGAGAGGCTTGCGTTTCTTTACCTCCTGCCGGGCAAGGAAAGACAAGCGGAGTTCAGACACAGAAAAGTGCTCTCAAGCCGCTTGCCCGTGTCCCCGCTTGCGTGGACCGTCGCTCCCAGACTTAGTTTTCTGTGCAAACCAGAGCAAGGCGGAGCAGATTAAACAAAGACAACCTCGCGCCTTTAATCCTTGACCGCAAACACAGGCGTTTTTGTGCCCTGGATTTCTGAAATTCTTGGCTCGGGGACTCAACGCGGGGGGAGGGTGGGTACAGCTTGTAAAAACTTCCCAAAGCAGAAATCCGAGCTCCTCCCTGCCCCCTGCTCCCAGCGATACCTGGATTCAAGGCAAATGGGGCAGCCGGAGGAGAGTCCCCAAGGGTTGGGGGCGCCCCCCACGGGTGGCTTTGGGTCACGGGCTCCAAATCAGCCCGCTCTCTGTGAAGAGATGGATTTGAAAGCCCGGACTCCCCGCAAGACGCCCCGCCCTCGTCCCGGCGCGCGGTCTATTTAGAGCCCAGCCCGGGAGCCCAGGGGATTCTGGGATTTGTAGTCCTTACCCGCAGCCCCAGGCGCCGCCACGACCTCGGACTCGGACTACATTGCCCAGGGAGCTTCCCGGCCTATATAAGCCACCGGGAGCCGCTTCAAAGTGCAGTAACCATGTGGATGTGCTGCTGAAGTGTTTCCTCTGGCTCGCTGGGGTGGGAGGAGAGGAGGAGGTGGTGGTGGTGGAGGAGGAGGAGGCAGAGGGTGGAGAGAAAGAGCACGCCGAGAGGAGGTGTGGGTGTTCCGCTTCCATCCTAACGGAACGAGCTCCCTCTTCGCGAACATGGGATTACCCAGCGGCTGCTAACCCCTCTCCTCGCCCTGCTCCCCCAAACCGGCGTGGCTCCCCGGGCACCAAGGTAGCGGCTGGGGCCGGGAAGAGGGCGTGGGGAGTTGGTGCTGTCCCCCTGGGCGCAGAAGTTTTCGCCCCGCTCTCCGGGAGTTCTTGGTGGATTTGCATGCACTTGCATGCATTTGGGGGTTCTTTTACTGCGGGCATTTTTAAGGGGTTAATTTGAGGTAAAAAAAAAAAAAATGTTCGACTCCAGTGACTGGCTTTGAGGGCTACCCATTCGAGACTGGATTGGCATTCCCTCAAGTTGGAAACTGTTGTAGCAACTGCAGGAAATAGTTTTTTTGGGGGTGGGGGTGGGGGTGTCATATGTGAGTCCATTCAAGGAAACAATCTTTCTTAAAGTGTAGCCTTCCCTCGAGCTGCCTGGTTGGGAGAATAATGCCTGTGTAGGGGCCCCAGTGGGGAGGGTTTTAAAAAACGGAAGAAAACCCGGGGAGCGGTGAGGGATGAAGTGTGGACGAAGCTCACGCCCAATGAGGATGCGGGCTTCGGATACTTGGCCTCCGCTCCGGGAAACAAGTGCTTTGGGATCTGCCAAAGACTTCCCTTAGTTCCAGCTCTCCGGCATGTTCGAAGTTTGTGCGTGCCTCATTTCACTTGTCAGTTACATTCTGGAAATAAGTAAGCGAAGTTACCTGTAATCTTTGCCCAAGTGATCCCACCAACCTGCTTGTCAAATACGGGGGGAGACATCTCGAGGAAGGAGGCTGAGGAAGTTGGCAGCGTGGAATTTGGAGCATTTCTGTTAGGGAAACTTCGTGGTCTCATACTCAGTCTTCTTTCTTTCTAAATACTCAGGAGCTGATTACAGAGGAGCAAGATTCGCACCCCTGGCTTGGCGGGTATTGGCAGTGGAGTGCCTGACCTGGGTCAGGTGAGTGTGGAAGCCTGAGTGCTGTAGTCAGTAAGGAGTTTTTCTCCTAAGTCTATTTTAAGTTCTTTCTAAAGAGCCATCGAGATGGGGAGGAGAAAAGAAAAGGAAACTCCGTGGCTCAGTCTCCAAAATTTGTCACTGCCTTTGGTGAGGGCTCTCGGCAGCAGATGAGATCCAGGGGGCAGTCCTACCTTGCACTTTTGGCTGTGGTTCAGAATCGAAGCAGCCTGAAGGTTTGTGAGAGGAGGGGAAAAAGGCCTTTAAATGAAAGGGATGCCCATTGGTGGCCTGAGAATGGAACTTGCCAGGCAGCGTATTGATGATTTAAATTCTGAAGGATGCAGTGCATTTCATCTGCCAAGATATGTAAGCAAAAATTAACTGCCTCTCTCTCAAAAATAGTCACTTTCTTTTTTCTTACTGTGAATGGGTGTTTAATCAGAGTAGGTTGGATTGCAAGAAATGAAAGTGGTTGCTGGCAAATTGAAAGAATTAGAACTTTAAAAAGGGAAGTTAGTTCTTGAAGCAAAAGTTAGTAACATCCAGCCCTTGACTTGCAGCCACTTGGATGTCAAGGAATCTGATGAGTTCCTGTTGTTGAGGTACCTGTCATGGGATATGAGCAGAGGGCAGCATTTATCTGTGAACACAAGCAGCTCCTATTTTTTTCCCCAAAATGGTCAGACTTCACTGCAAGAAAGGGAGGTTTTAACGGGTGCACGTACATCCCCATTGCTGTAGAATTGGTCATCAAAAGTTTTTTCTTCTGAAGTGGTCAGGAACGGGGTAAACAACAGGCTCAAGGGGAGGGGGACTGGGTTTTGGTAACTTCAACATTCTAAATATTTAGCTGTTCCCTGGACTACAATCTTTGGGCTTTTCTAATTAAGAAATGAAAGTCAGACACTTCGTTATAGTAGTATAGTGCTTTTGTTTCCTGTTGATAAGATCCTCAGGAGCGCTGGTGGAGTGGGAAGCATTTGGATGTGTGCGCTCTGGTTCCTTCTTGGAATTCTCTTGACTTGCATGGCCACATGGGCACTCAAAAGGCCAATGATTGGGTTCACGACCCCTCCTTTGAGTAAGCTGCAGACAAGGAGAAACTGGTCCACAGACTCATCTCCAACTTGTTGCTAAAAATAACAATACTGACACATTAAGTAGTTGTATGTCAAGTCTAGAGTCGTATGTCACAGAAACCCTGTGAGTCAGGTACAGATGAAGAAGCTGAGGTGCAGAGAGTGAAATCACTTGCCCTGTAGCTGGCACACTGTGGAAGCAAGGTATCACCCCAGGGGGCTGTCTTGTCTTTTGTCCCATAGGTGCACCTAAGTTGAGGGGGAGCAGTGAGGGAGAAGCTAGGAAAAATGATAAACTTATTGCTGTTGATGAAATAACTCTTGCTTGTGTCCCCCCAATGATGAATGAACAATACTTATCTTGATGTAAGAAGGAAATGATGTAGCTCTGAGGTAGGGATGAAAGAGTGTGGATATTTGAGGAGGTGTTAGGTGTTGTACTCAGTTTGTTTTGGAAAGCTGTGTGCTGAAAGCCTGAAAGAGGAGAGTAAAAGAAACCAAACCAAACCGCGAGGAACATTGTCTGAGTTCAGCATTAGGTTCATTTCATACCTGAAATCCACCTTGATTGTCTACATCAAGGCATCTGAGCAGGTTAAAAGAATCAGGCATTTCTCCATCTGAATCATTCGAAAGTTTAAATTGCAGTGAGTGTGGACTGTGATCTTTTCCTATACCCTTCAGTTTGCTTTGCGGCTGCTTGTGCAGAACACTTTTCTTTTTCATTTCTTTCTTTCGTGTGTGTGTGTGTGTTGAAAGTACAATCTGCTCTTCGAATAATTCAAATCAAAACAGAGGAGCCTATCAAGATTTCCCTTTGCTCAGCAGGGAAAGTTCTGCACGCTGTAAATGAATTACTTCTGGCCTCCACTTTGAGACCCATGAAAGTTGTTTGGGGTTGACACTGGTACTATCCGTTTCAACAATGTGGTTGCCATTTATTTGGAGGGAATTGGCATCTTTTCTTTAGGAACAAGAAATGGAACGGTTGCTTAGAGAAGGAATAGATGAATTCAACAAGACACATCTGTTGCCTTTTCCTAAAAATGGTTTCAGTTGAGGAAGACTAATATATTAGAGATAAAGAAAACTTCGAATCCAATGGTGTACAAGCAGCTGACTTCCAGAGAAAAAAATCACGTGGATTTTTAGCTCTTTTATAATGATCTCATGGAAACTCTGATTTCTTTAGAAGCAGTTCTTAAAAAACAAATCAAAATGAGACAACAAACACCAAATATGAACAACAGAAAAAAAACAAAAGTAGGGCTGGAGTTAGGTTTCTAGGTCAAGCTGTCCTTGGATACGTCTAATTAAGGAGTCTACACGAGGCCAGTGTCCCATCTTGTTTGCTGTTGGCTTGATCTTTTAAAATAAAATGCATTGCATTTGCGGGCTCTATATTAACTGGAAGTGCATGCAAGTTTTTAGTTCACTTTTACTGTTATAAGTTTTTGCATGTCTCTTTTGGTGAAATCAGTCAAGGCTTGAAGTTAGTGCCAGGAATGACTTAATTTCTATGATTCCTACAAATTCTCATGGTGTCTGTGGTTCTGAGGTTATTGCTAATGAGGATGAGCTAAGAAAAAGCACTGAAACCATCACCTATTGAGCTAGTCCTCATATTGAACTATGTCCAGGTTCCTCCCTAAAGTGGACATAGCTTAAGGCATTTGATGTGATAAATCATTCAGGAAGTCTAATAATTGTTAAACTTGTTAGGATCTGAGTGTTTATTCCTTCATTCAACAAATTTCTTGAGCACTTGCTGTGCACCAGGGTGTGTTCTCGGTGCTGGGGGTACATCGATGAAAGTCCTGCTCCCAAGAGGCTTAAATCCTTGGTGGGGGAAGGCAGCCAGTCTAAATAAGCAAGTATGACAGGTCGTAAGTGCTATGGTGAAAAATAAAGCAGAGTAAGGGGGAACAGAAAATAGCAAGTGTTGGTGAGGATCTGGAGAAATTGGAACCCTCGTGCACTGGTGATGGGAATGTAAAATGGTGCAGCCACCGTGGAAGACCCTATGGTGGATCCTCAAAAATGAAGCATACAATTACCAGATGATCCATCAATTCCACTGCTGGGTATATACCCCAAAGAATTGAAAGCAGGGACTTGAACAAATAATTGTAACACTCATTTTCATAGCAGCATTATTCACAGTAGCCAAAAGGTGGAAACAACCCCAATGTCCATCAACAGATGAATGGATAAACAAAGGTGGTATATCCATACGGTGGAATATTATTCAGCCTTAAAAAGGAAGGAATTTCTGATACATGCTGCAACACGGATGAAGCTTGAAAACATTATGCTAAGAGAAATAAGCCAGACACAAAAGGATAAGTAGTATATGATGCCACTTATATGGGGTCCCTAGAGCAGTCAAATTCAGAGACAGGAAGTAGAATGGTGGTTGCCAGGGGTTGGGGGTGGGAGAATGGGGAATTTGTTTAATGGGTACAGACTTTCATTTTGCACTTCATTGTGAATGTACTTAATGCCTCTGAATTGTACACTTAAAAATGGTTAAAGTGGTAAATTCTATGTTATGTATGTATGTTTTACCACAATAGAAAAAAAAAGAAAATGACAACAAGAGAACAGGGTAAAGGAGTACTCCGGTGGGGATTGGGAATCGGGGAAGGGCTCTTTAATCTGGTGCATTTGAGCAGAGATCTGAAGGAAGCGAGCGGGTTAGCCATGTAGCTATCTGGAGAAAAGGATGTTGTGAAGGGCCAGAACAGCAAGTGCAAAGGCCCTGAGATGGGAGCAGGTGCAACCTGTTTCGGGAAGGGCAATGAGGCCTGGGTGGCTCTGGTTGAGGGAGAGTGCTGAGCATTCAGGTGCAAGAGGGCATCAAGGTCAAATCGTTAGGGCCCAGGTTGTTGCAGGTAAGGAATGAGTATTTCCCCGGGGATTTCTTAACTCTCACAGAATTCTCAGCGTAGTTCTCAATATCGTCCTTCTGAAGATGCTGGTAAAATCACATACGAGATTGGAACTTGATGGGGGGCAAAACCCAGATTTCTAGACTGTCTGGTTAATCACTTGACTTACCTGGGATTGTAATTTGCTTCAGTAAGAAAGGACTCTTCTTTGATAAATAGGTGAACCTTCGGTTGGTTTGAACAACAAATTCTAAGAGCTTAATGATATTTCTGGGGATTTATCTTTAACACAAACCTTCTCCGCCTTGCTGCACCCTGTAGTCTGTGCAGTTCCACCAGGACTCACGGTCTGCTGTCTAGCGTCATCCTTAGGGAATATGAAGTTCCACATAAGTGATTCTCCCCAATAAGTGGACCCCTTCATGTGTACAAACTTATAAAAGCATACATTTTGTTACTTACTGTGTAAGCTATGCATATTCAGTTATAGTAAAACATTAGGAAATAAGGATAAGCAACAAAACCAGTCATCCCCAATCCCACCATCCAAGATTAGGGTTCCAGACTTCCTATGTGTATATATATAAAAATTATGCAGGGGCTGGCCTGGTGGCACAGCGGTTAAGTTCGCACATTCCGCTTTGGCAGCCCAGGGTTCACCAGTTCGGATCCCAGGTGCAGACCTACACACCACTTGTCAAGCCATGCTATGGCAGGCATCCCACATATAAAGTAGAGGAAGATGGACACAGGTGTTAGCTCAGGGCCAGTCTTCCTTAGTGAAAAAGAGGACGATTGGTAGAGGATGTGAGCTTAGGGCTAATCTTTCTCAAAAAAAAAAAAATATATATATATATATATATATGTATGAAAATAAAATTATGTATATATTTAAATTTCTTGAAAAGGGACTTGGCCAGTACTTCCTGTTTGGTACTTTGCCTTTTGCACTCTATATCTTGAAAGTCTTTTCTTATTAATAGACATCTGTATCTTCATGTTCCCAAAGGTGGCTCTGCCTTTGATGGGATTTCATTTGACTGATGATATATATGGAATCACTAGGGTAAAGTACTTCATTCAGGTTTCATCACCATTGTCGAGTCCAGGTTTTCTCATTCAGTTTATACTGTTTTTTTAAGAAAACTAGATGGAAGGTAAAGTGTTACTCAGATGTTAGTTATCTTATTATAGGGGTAGAGCCTAGTAATCATTCCTTTCAATAGATCATTTCTCATTTGTTCTTCAGAGTAAGCTAGTCCAATGAGGTAGGGAGGACCAAGTGCTCCTTTCTGTTTGTTTGCACTATATAGAAAATTTGTGTACACGTAACGTAGAGATCTTACTATAATGAGCCCCTCTTTAATCATCACCTACCCTCCATGGTTATCAGTTCATGGCCCATCTTGTTTCATCTGTATTTTCATACACTCTCCCCTCTTGTCTTGGGTAACTTTGAAGCAAATCCCAGACATACCAGTTCATCTGTATTTTAGCATGTATTTCTAGTATTAGGATTCTTTAAAAAAAAAAAAAAAATATGATACTATTATCCATCTCAAGAAAAGACAAAACAAATTTTGTTATTGAGTCTATGTTCTCACTTAAAAATACATACAGCAGTGTATATATAAGCATATTTAACAGTTTGTTTGAATTAAGATCCAGAAAAAATTACAGATAGTTGGTGTGTCTTTTAATCTGTATGTTTCCTCTGTACCTCTTTTTTTCCATGCATTTTTTGGTTGTTATTGAAGAAACTAGGTGATATATTTTCCCACAGTTTGGATTTCACTGGCTGCATCAGTGTGGTGTAGTTGAGCATGTTTCTCTGTCCCCAGTATTTACCATAATTTGGTAGTCAAAAGTAGAGGCTCAGAATCTGGCCAATCAGAGTCAGGTTCGTTTTTCTTTGGTCAAGGCTGTTTTGTGAACTTCACTCAGGCGAGTGTATGATATGTCTGGCTATGTCTTCTTGTGATATTAGCAACCACTGATGCTCATTGCCTCAATCGACTAGTTCATTTGGAGTTGCAAAATTCCTGATTCTGTTTTTCCTTCCTCATCTATTAGCTGGAATATTTTAAAGAAAGAAATTTCCTTCACTTAGGTTTTGGCTCTCTGGGGGTATAGTTTATATAAGACAGACAAGATCAGTACTTGAATCTCTCTCTGTATTTTACCAGTTTTCAAAAATAACAAGTTGATTCCCTAGCATGTTCCATGGCAGTCATTCTCAATGGGGGGACATTGGACAACAACTGGAGGCATTTTTGATCATTACAACTGGGGAGAGGGTGCTACTGGCATGCAATGGTTAGAGGCCAGAGTTGCTGCTAAACAGCCTATGATACATTGCATAGCCCTCCACAACACAGAATTATACATTCCAAATATCAGCAGTGCCACTGTTGAAAATCCTGTACCAAGAGGACTAATGGGTATTTATTTAAGTATCATTATGAATTTATGGATTTAAACATATTTTATACATTTCACTTTGTATAGTTATCCTTATTGATGTTCAAATTGTCCATCTTTGCTCAGCGAGAGAGGCTATTCAAGTTGGTTCAAAAGACACACCCTACTAGTCTTTGATCACTTTCTTGCTTTCTTTATGACAAGATGTTCCGGGCTCATCTTCTGTGTTTCTTGTCCAAGACCTGGAATAAGCCTTTTCTCCAAGAAGCCTGAGTTCTTTTGAGAGGAAAATGACATTTAGACCTCTGCTCAGCACCAGATAGGTGCTCTTGTCATTCTCATCATACAGATCAGAAAACAAATTAAAATGAAGAAAACTTAAAACCTGAATATTTTTAATGGAAGTTTTCCAAAATGCAGTGGACACATCCTTGCCTTTTAAAAAAGAATTTTGAACATACTCAACTTTTTAAATTAATTTAAATTTTAGCCTTAGTATCCTGGGGCTAAGATACAGCAGTACTCCCCAGAGAAACAAAAATGTTTCTTTCATTCTATATCTTTGTGTTTCAAACTATGTGGTAACTGGTTAAGAGGTTGTGAAATCAATTTAATGGGCCTTGATCAATGGCTTTTTAATGAGGTAGACTAGCATAGAAAACATCAAAGTATATTGATTGCATGGATACCTAAAAAGAATGGTGTATATTGCAACAAACTTTCTGGTTCTCTCTTATTCTTTCTCTCTTTCTCATGCACTCACACAGAGTGAAGGATGGGTTGTAAATTCAGTGTATTTCTTTCTGTAGGTTGCAGTGAAAAGTTTGAGAAACATTGTGCTACATCTTTGCAACTCTGTGGTCACCAGAGCAGCATCCGTGGCTTCAAATGGGAGCTTGTTAGAAATGCAGACTCTCAGGCCCCACCTCAGACCCACTGAATCAGAACCTGCATTTTAGCAAGATCCCCTGGGGATTCATACACATGTGAAAATAGGAGAAGATCTCTAGGGGAGGGTGCTTGCCTCTAGGGCTTTTTCAGTACTTGTCTTATTTTTATGGTTACTTTGTTTTTTTCGTGACTGTCTCTCACCTCTTGAAACTGACCTTCGTACTTCCCCCAGCAGCCTTCCCATTTTTAGTTAAATAGAAAGGTAGGCTAAATCACCAACCTAAGGCGAGAGTACATAGGTCTGGTAGGGTTCTCTCTTACAAAAATGGGAGCTTACATTTGGGGATTTTTTTTTTTATTGGCTGTTCCAATAGAGGTAGAAAGAGACTTTAAACTACATGTAAAACCTACTTAGGATTGTGAAGTCACAGATATAAACAAAGCCTCATTTTAATCTGCTGTTGTCAGATACTTTGAGGAACTCATGTTTTATGACCCATCAGATCAGCAGAACTTCTGGTATAAAGTTCGCATAAATTTGCTCATAAGAAAAAGATGAACACGAGAAAAATATCACTAGCCTCCAAATTCCTTCAAGTTCATTTGCATTTCAGGAGGAGCTCTATCTGGGAAGTGATTTTGTTTTGTAAAAACAGCTTAAAAGCATCCCCATGCACATGTTTCTGAACAGAAAAAGCTGATACAACACGCAGACTTAGGGACATTCATTGATTTGCCTTGGTGTGTGGAGGGGTGTGTGTGTGTGTGTGTGTGTGAGAGAGAGAGAGAGAGAGAGAGAGAGAGAGATCAATCTTGTCCTGCCTCTGTGCCTTGGCACATGTCCTTGTTGCCTCCCCCTTCCCCCCACCCCCATCCACCTTGCCAGATCCTTCTGTTCCCAGGCCAAATGTTTCCTCTTCTGGGAAGCCTTTCCTGGTACTTGAAAATCTGTGTCATTTGAAACCCCCCTGGCACTTTGCATCTCTTTTCCTCATGGGCCTTTTTGATTTTTGACCTACAAGAGTACCTGACACATAGTAAGTGCTCACAAAGTATTTCTCAAAGTTATTTTTCTGCAAGTTTTCTCTCGCTTTGAAGGCTATAGGCTGTTTCTTAGAAGATCTGCTTTTTGTCCCTCTGCCCTGATTAACTATTTCTTGCACTGGAGTACTGCTTTGAAAAGCCCCTTTTGCTGTGGGGAGTGAAGTGAGGCCTGTGAGAAACGCGTTAAGCAGTTTTTTTGGACACCTTTGAGATGTTGCTCAGAACAGCTCTCTGGAGTGCATTAGGCTTGGGAAGTTGTTGAGTGTTACTAAAAGGGAGTGGAGGTGAGAAATCAGGTAGTGAAACAAAGCCGGTCGCGGTGGTATTGCCCTGTTGGACTGCAGGATGGGGACTCCCGCTGACTGTGTTGACTGCCTTTTTGGTACAGGCAAAACATGTAACATCTGTGTGTCTGTTTCCTCTTCCGTAGAATAGGTATAAAAATACCTGCTTTGGGTCATTGCTGCCAAGTTGTAGAATAATAAATGCTTTCAAATGGTCTTAAAGATAAAACAAAACCAAACCTATGTCCTAGAACAGTAGTTCTCAACCAGTGGGGTGATTTTGTCCTCTGGGGACATTTGGCGATGTCTGGAGATGTTTTTATTGTCACAACTGAGGGGGAGAGGGTGCTGCTGACTTCTAGCGGCTAGAGGCCAGGGATGCTGCTAATCATCCTACAGTGCACAGGATGATCCCCCGCAACAATTTTCTGCCCCAAATGTCAATAGCCCTGAGGTTGAGAACCCCTGTCCTAGAGTAGTTTTTCTAGACTTAGTGAGATTTTTCTCTCTCTGAGAATATTAACCTACCTTGCTAGGCTGGTGTTTTTTTTTTTTTTTTTTTTGTGGTTCAGGCTGTGGGCAAAGGGGCGTCTTCGCAGGCTGGGACTGACTTTAACTTTTTAACAAAATGAACACCCTCTCCCATGCCCCTGAGCACTCGCCTTGGTTTCTGGAGGCCTGTGGTCTACTAGCTTGAGACACTAATCGGCTGTGTGACCTCCAAGAA